CTGCCCCCCCCCCCCCTTCCCTTTCACTGCTGCCCTGCCATGGCCCCTATCCCTTGCATCCCCCCATGTTGGTCCTGCCCAGCCCTCAGTGGAGACAGCCCCCTTCTCCCTCTGCCCCAGGCAGATCCCCCGGCCTCCCCAGCCCTCCCGCTGCTCTCAGGGAGCACGTGGGCAGCTTGGGCAGCATGATGCAGAGCTCACCAAGTCCATGGAGGATTTGGGGGATTTTAGTTGCTAAATATTAGGCTTGTTAGGTGCACATGCTGTTGAGCGTATGTGAACTGATTTTTTTCAGAGGAATTTTGGACAAGTTTCACAGCTGTGGCAGCAAAGGGCACACTGGTGATTGGAGGCTGAGCTCTCTGTTCAGCAACCCTTTCTGCTAAAAGTATATTTTTTTTTCCCAAAGAAAATGATCACAGTTGAAGAATTACTGTGCATCTTTTCAAGGTACAGCATAGTGTATTTTCTGGTGTGTTCCTAGAACCAGCTGATGGTTTTAGTTGATACTTTCTTAAAAATACCCGAGTCTGAGTCAGTCACATAAGGTAAAAAATATTATCCTGACAGTTAGAGTCTGGGGAAGTTACAAGCAAGTAGAAACTAGATCTTACAAAAGGAAGTACTGGGCAAGCTAATGATGGAGATTATCAGCTTTTCCCATCACTCCTGATGACAGAAGGAGAAAAGGTGCCCTTCTGCTTCCTCGGGAGGTTTCCAAATATAAAGAAAGAGGCTTTGTTCAGTTGGGGGTGGATTTGGACTAAGGAAGGTTAGCAGGGAAGCAGACAAAGATAGGAAACCTGCAGCAGCTGGGCATTGTGTGCAAGAGGAGTAGCTGCCTGTTTGGTATTTACAGTGTATCTCCAGGAGCTAGAAAGAGCAAGATGCTTTTATTTTTGGCTTCATTTATAGCTGTTGTGTCCTCTCACTGTTCCCTCTTTTCAGTTTGCAGCCCTGAGATTAATTCAGACTATTGCAATGAGCTTCCCACCATCCAGAAAATAAATGTTGTGGTGTCACGTGAATCCTGTAGGAGATGGGCAGGGAGGAAGAGGGAGACAAAAGAATAGAGGAAAAACTGCATCATCCAGCCTGATCTGCATTAGGCCCAACATCTGTATCCTGGGATCAGATTTCTGCTGAGATTTTGTTCAAGGGCAGCTTGTCCTTCCTGCTGGGGAGAGACTGCCACAGGAAGACCATGGCTGTGTTGGGAAAGTTGGGGGAAAAGTGATACATAGGAAAGGAGGCCCCAGGTGGGCTCCATTTCTTTGGGGGAACCCATGTCCCAGCAGCATTTCCACCTGGGGACGACCCCATCTATATGGCTTCTAAACTTGAAAGCACTGACATATCTGAACTGCCTAAACCAAGCAAGCCCATGACAAGGAATGGGATTTCAGGCGGACGAGAAGTCAAACCTGTGCCATAAACCAAGAAAGCCCGGTGCCATGTGCAGTAAGGCCGCATGAATGTGTAAGCTGCAAAGTTATAAGCTTGCTTCTTGCCAACTATGTGGCTTGAGCAAGCATACCGAAGCAGCCCAGGTTTCCCTTTCACCTTTACCTGGTCTCCTGTTAGCCTGTGCCTCTGCGAGATGTCTGGATGAAGCACTGAAAACTGGAAATAGAAATACAGAATGAAAAACTTGAGTAAAACGTCCAGGTTCAAGATATATGTTTGCGTGCTGGCTGAAGAAATAGTGGGCATTTTGTAATGAAAGCTGAGCAGTATCCAGGGTGATGGTGCTTCCATGCAAGGATTCCTGACGATGAACAAGACCAGATATATATACTGCACCACTGGTGTCAGCCGGAAGAAGCCTATTTTTGGGGTTTGTGTCCAACAGAATGCCTAGATTCTTTTCTGGTCCATATATTTTCAAGTGTTTGCAGTAATCTCAGATCTTCACACAATCAAATTAATTTCAATACTTTCTTCAAATACAAAAAAGTCTTAACTGAGCACATTGGTACTTGGTGAAACCTCTTCTCTCATAAAAAGACCAAAGGTATGGTAAGATCGAGTAATTAAATTGGAAGGGACCTACAACGATCATCTAGTCCAACTGCTGGGCTGGCAGGAGTTCCTTGCAGTTGGGAGTTAGCTAAAGGCATGCCAGGGTCATGCTCCAGCCCATTTTGCTTTCCATTTACTCCTTTTGCTGGTCTGCAGATCTTCTCAGGTGCCTGCGTGAACCTTCCAGTTCACCACAGTATGTCTGTTTGTCAAGTGTTTACTTGACCTAAATTCTTTTGAAAACCATCATTTGTGAGAACTGTAGTGCAGGCTTTACAGAACTGGGTAGCTGGTTAATAAGTGCTGTGACCTGGACACACAAGCTCTGCCATTTTGTTATTAACAATATAGGCAGTTATTTTTCTGTTTTATTTATTTGTTAATGTTCCTGATTTCTTAAACTGTATTTTTTTTCTAACTGGAAGATTGAACTGTTGAATGTATGTCACAAATTGCTAGTTTACCTTTTGGTTCTCAGCATAACATTTCTTCAGAAAGGTATTTAATTCTGAACACAATTATGATTCTCACTGGATAGTTGTATCATACCTGGTAACTCACCTGCTTACTACAATTTTTCCATTTGGCATTCCAAATACATTTCAGTTATATTTCCGTTATCCTGGATCTGATTCATGAAATAAGCAACTTTCACAGTCTATCAATTCCTCTTGCTCTAAATCAGAAATTTCCTCATTCTTCTTCCTGAAGATCAATAACACTTTTTCTAACATGGTATTTTATAAAAATCTTCTATGGTAAAAGTTGTTGAAGTACATCTGTCTAATTAACATGCATTATATGAGCTAAATAACTATTATAGGAAATTAGTGAAGAGTAGACTCAACATTAAACTTGCATTTACGAATACCAAATCTGGAGTTGTATGTGTGTGTAATTGTAGAAAAGACCCCATTTGACTACTCTAAGGGCATTAAATTTCTCTTCCAGCTGAGAAGGTGGTAATTAGGAATGACATGCCAAAAAAAAAAAAAAATTTGAAAAAATTACAAGCCAGTCAAAGTATTTTTCATTGTTAAATTTACATTAGCCCTGGTGCTAGCTGCTTCTGTCTCGCATCAGTAAAACATTCTCCAGGTCCATCAATCAGTATGTGAAATGATGGGCTGTAAGGATGCTCCTGATAGGAGTTCTTGACACGCAGAGTGATGCTTCTCATTGCTGCCCTTGAGCTGATGCAACCCTGCACCAGCCCAGCTTCTCTGGTGTCTCCTCCCGACCCTCACGATGCTGAATGCAACCTGGCTCAGAGCCCACTGGAAGCTGGGGGTCTCTCATCATTCAGAGGATAAAGATCGTGAAAGGGCATGAAACGAAGGTGCTATGCTGATAGGCAGGTTGACCTACCGCGTGCTGGTCTCTGCTTTTTCATTTCATGGCAAATCCAGCAGTGTGGTTGTCTCTGTTGGCCATGGGAAACAGAGCACCAAACTACATGCAGTCAGGTGGTATTTAGCTACATCATGATGTTGATTAAAAAAATAAACACAGATCTGAATTCGTGTCTCTACTTGTTGTCTTCACAGTGGTTGGAGAAGCAAAATTTGCTGTGAGAGGTTGTATCGGCTGAAATTAGTAAAAACCTGAAATGAGAATCTATCCATTAGCTGTGACAGCCAGCCCAGCAACTGGGAGGGGAAAGAAAAAAAATAAAAAAGAAACAAGAGAAAACACCCATCTCAGCCACCAGAATATCTCTCCTCCTTACCTGCCAGAACCCATTGCTTTGTTCTTCTGGCCAGAGAAGATGTGGGGTGTCAGCCCTTGAAAGTTGGTGTGAAATAAGAAACCATCGGGCACAATGCAACCACATATTACTGGCCACTCCTTACAAACCAAACTAAAGCAAATAGGATTAAATCAGAGTAATACCTCATGTGATTACAGCTCATTGTGTTCAAATAAAAGCTGACGTTATCGTGAGTGATTTGTTTGGGGGTGGGGGTGGGGGTGGACAAGAGAAGAGATGCTACAGCTTTTGCTCACAGTGATGGCTATTTATAACACTGTAAAACCACAGTGAACATGTTAAAAGCACTGCCACACGCATGTGCTGCTTAAGCTTGGTATTATGGCTCTAATAATTCATTGCAACTCCTAAATATGCCTTTCTACTAATAATATATTAACATTATTCTCAATCATTTATTTCAGACATACAAAAAACTTTGTATATGTGGCACTTGTGACGATGTAACCATAATTTGTAACCATATTTGTAGCTCTGTAATCAATACGGGAACACTTCATAGTCACATCTACCTGCTGCTTTTACAACCCCCTCTAAACAAAATGAAATAGAAACTGAAGGGTAAATGTGACTTGTGTCCTCAGCAAAACAGAGAAAAGAGAAGTATGTCAGTGCTAATTAACTCCAGCACCCTGCCAGGCCTGGCTCTCAGCAGCTCTGCAGGCTGTAGTACGGTTGCTGCGGGTTCAGTAGTACTCCCATTTAATTTGTTCAGAGGGGTTGGGTAACTACTCTTCCAGCAGCAATTGAATGCTGGTTAGATTATTATCCCCCAGACTGGTCCTATTCCCTGCAGTACTTGGATCTTTCTTTCTTTCTACTACTCTTGTTTTGTGCCGGCTTCTCTGTGCTCTGTAACTGCATCTCGCTCTCTCTAATGAGGCTCAGAAGATCTGACTGGGGGAAGGAGTCCCAAATGCAGAGGAGGCATCAGGAACTTGGCCTGGTTTATTTTTCTTATTATTCATTGTATTTTTTCCTAGTGTTAAGTGGGTTTAGAACTATGAACTTTATGAACTATTTGAACTATGCTGATGCAAAATCTATTTCCATCCATTCTCTTTTTTTTTTTTTCTCTCTACCCCACAATGTACTTTACTGTTAAGTTCTGATTATTCTGAATATTACTGTTTTCTTTATAGCAGTACTAACTTCCTCTGCACTCACCCAAACCCATAGATATCCTTGCTTTAGGGCTTTTAATAAGAATCTCAACTGTACTGGGTCAAACCACCACATGAACTTAAAACTTGGTGTTGTTTGCTTGAATTGTCTTTTGCCAGAAAGCAATTCTGTCTGAGCTGTGCCAAAGAGGGAGACCTGCACTGTGACCTTGATCTTCCTTCTTTCAAACAATAATTTCCAGGAATACTCCTGAAATCAGCCCAACCTTATTTCTATTTTACATTTCATTGTCTGAATTCCTTAAAAGACACATAAACCTAATATTTTGTTCAGGAGCACGCACAGTGATGGTCTCTAGAAAGAGAAATTGAGATTTTCAGCACTGAAGTTCTTGGATACGTACCCAGACCAGACAGGTAGTGATTGAAGGATGGCTGTTTGTTTGATAGACTATAGGACATTAATGTTTTGGTCACAGCCTGTCTCCCAAATTTCAACCATGATGTGACTGTATGTGTAACTGGTACCCCTGCTGTCACTCCCAACACTGGAAGCACTGACCGGTTCAGCAGGGCGATCCCTCACATGCAACACATCCCTGCTGGCAATCCCGTGCAGGAGAGCTTGCTCTTCTACTGCTGTGTATGTGTTGCAAATAACTGGGGATGCAACCTTTGTTCCTGTGCACCTTAATGCTGTTTAGCAGGGGCAACAGTGACTGCCACAAAACCTGACGTGGGTTGCCCAGTCACAGTGTGAATGGCAGAAAGCAATGTGAAGTGTGGTGTCACAGCAAGGGCAGACTTCATCTGTTCCCCTCAAGAAGCGGAGCTGGTAGAAGTCTGACCTTGCCCACCTGAGTCTGAAGAAAGTGGCCTGCCAGGAAAGAAGCATGAAGCTGCTCCCTACACTCATTTATTACTCTCACAAAAGAGATAGTGGCATTACTTCTGACAGATTTCATATAGCTCTAAGGCTCCTGGCATTGCTGGAAGAGTCTTAAAAATAATACTAATTTGTCCCAAGCAACTAAAATTCAGCCAACCAACATATAAAAGTACTAAAATACTTTTAGAAGTACTATAAAGAAAAAAAAAAAGTAGAAATGGAAAGATTTAAATGACAAAACTCAAAAAAAAGAAGGTAAACCAGACCAAATGGTTATCAAATGGTGGTGTGGAGCCAGGTAATCCCCTGCAGAACTGGGAGAGCAACAGACCTTATTTCCTTCGGCACATAAGCCACACCTTGGCTTGCCATGGAAATGTGTAACACAGCAGGATTGCTGCTATCAGGGCAATATTTCTTCTGCCCTGTGGGACACAATTGCCCCAAGTAAGAAGGTTGTTACAGTATATGTTAGTATGAACCCCGGCAATTTGCTGTCCTTTGCTTGCTCACAACTTCTCCTGAATGTCTGGTTACAGCTTCTCGTATCACAATTCTCTTTACCCACCCCTTTTCAAAGACCTCTCCCACCAAAACTTGCCCAGACACAATGTCACTCTTCTGGCCACACAGGATATAGAATTCGTTTCTTAGTTTAGGGAAGGGTTTTTTATTGCTGCTATTTCTTAGTGGGGCAGAACAATGGAGACTAGTAACTCATTACGCTGATCAAAGCTGAACAGGTTTACTTGCTCAGGATGATGCTTTTTGACGTGACAATACTATTTCCTCAACAAAGGCGCTGGTTTGCCTTTTGGCCTCCTTGATGCCAATTTCCATAACATAGCCTCAGGCTATATTTTCAGGTATGCAGTGGACTGGGGCCACTAGCACTGATCTGATGTCCTAAACTCCAATGATTTTATCAAAGACCCCATGACATTAGTTGTTCAGCTCAGGGAAGGAGAAGAGGCTCTTTATCCTTATATTGAGTGTCACCTGGTGAAGGCAGATTTCATAAATAGGTATTAAGCTCTCCTGCCATCATTCTGTGCCCTGGACTCCCTGACACTCGTGAGAACCATGCAAATAATTTGCCTCATCCCCATTAAAGTACACGGACTCACCCGAGAGTCACTGTCACCCTCCTGTAACTGTCTAGACTTGTCATAGTGAGACCTAGTCATGAGACACATGACGGCATCTTCAGAAGTGACACCTCATGCCAAACTTCATGTCTCTGTCATGCAGGAAAGGCTCAAACTGTTCACAAGCCTCTGAGACAGATCAGCATGCTGGGATTGGAATCTGTCTCTGTCTGGAGGGTGTGCCGGGCATTTCTCCCAAATGGCACAGAAGACATGGGACAGAGAGCACCACAAGCTGGCATGAAATCCCTCCCATAGAGGTCACCACTGGAACTCTCGCCTGGTGTCAGACTCAGCTGTGGGACAATGTGGATGCTTCCAGCTGAGCAGAAGGTGCACAGAAGGTCCTGAAGTGCCACTCACAAGCCTGTTCTTAAGACCTGGAGCTCAGGATTCAACTTGTTCATCCTTCAGTTTGGCAATTAAGAGAGTTGCATTGTCCTTCAATTTCAAGTGCTTTGATGTCATCCCATCCCTATGATATAGTCCCATATAGAATTGCATGTTCTGTGTATACTGGGGGCAGTCTGC